TTGGGATCCCTTCTACAAAATGGCTATCTTGAAATTCCAAAATTTTGAGATTGGTTTTTAGCCCTATACCTATAGCACAGGGAACTCTTGAAAATGAGGAAAATCGTAACTTCAACCGGCCATAGCTCCGTAACGGTAAGTCGTAGAGGAAAAATATTCAAGGGCAGATTGTAAAGCTCGAGGAAATCTATAAAAAAGCTCACCTCTATTCCACTTGGAATTTTTAAAATCCTTGGGTTTGCCTTCCTATTTTTTTCAGCGAAAAAATCAAAGTCAAAATTTCCCGGATTTTCTTTCATTACGTTATAGAGAATATCGGAACCCACTTTTCCCCCCTCAATTTTCCGTTTTTCCAGGAGTTTCCTGCCCTCTTTTATACCCCACAGAATGGAAAATCAAAATTTTCCGAATTTTGGAAAAACAAAAAATTTAGTGTATAGAGGAGGTCAAAACAAGCAGAAAAACTATTTCGCATTTTCCCCTAGGATATCTCCTAAGTCTGGAAAAAAAAAATAAAGAATAAAATCCATGAAGGGGCTTTTCCAGCCTGACATGGTCTCATTAAATCGGCCATAATTCTGGAACGCCTGGATCGATTTCAATGAATCATCCATTCGATAGAGAATTAAATTTCCCACAGAATGGTTTTATTTCGAATTTCCAGAATCTTCCAGCGTCCAAATAATAGACCTTCAAATTGGCAAACATAAGATTTCAGTCTTCACTCGTTTTAAAATGGTCATAACCTGAGGTCATAACGTTTGAATGATTCAAGCTAGCGAGTTAGGGTTTATTTCAAATTAAAAATCAGCTGAAAATATGTCAATATGCGTCAAGAAATTGTTTGGAATTTGCTTCTATCGTTTGAAGTACAAAGCTTGAGACTTTTCTAATGGCAAACATAGGATTTTAGTCTTCACTCGTTTTAAAAAGGTCATAGCTTTTGAACGATTCAAGCTAGCGAGTTGCGGTTTATTTTAAATTAAAAACTAGCTCAAAATATATCAACATACGTTAAGAAATTGTTTGGAATTTGCTTGTATCATTTGAAGTACAAGGCATGAGAGTTTTCTAATGAAAAACATAACATTTTAGTTTTCACTCGATTTAAAATGGTCATTACTTTTGAACGATTCAAGCTAGCGAGTTGCGGTGTTGTGTTTGGCGGCTCTGGGCTCTTGGACTATAAGTTATTGTACAAGTACAAATAAGTGGAACTTATGGGTGGACCTCAGTCATCTTATCACCAATATTGTCGAACTGTTCAAGTAGACATTCACCTGAAAGGTGTAATTTTTGAACTAATGAGAATACCGCACATTTGAGTCAGTCAGTTTAGTATCGTAATTACACAACTGATGAATAGATGGCTGCGGAACTCGCTGCGCTCGTCCCGCAGAGGTCCACCCATAAGTTCCGCAACAATTCAATCGTTTGTACTTGAATAACTTGTCACATTATGTTACTAGTTTGGTAAAGTAACATTACTAATTCCTGTTGAAAGGCAAATTGACAAAAAGTGAATAATCATTATCTTACAAATTTTGACTTTGTATAACAAGTTATTGTTCTAGTACAAGTGGATTATTGTGGAACTTATGGGTGGACCTCTGTGGGACGAGCGCAGCGAGTTCCGCAGCCATCTACTCACCAATATACTGTTAAATTATTCAAATAAAACACTCACCTGAAACTTGTAGTTTTTGAACTAATGAGAATAACTGACATTTGAGTGAGTCAGGTTAGTATATCATACTTGAACAACGTATTAATGAATAGATGACTGTGGAACTCGCTGCGCTCGTCCCGCAGAGGGCCACCCATAAATTCCGTAACAATTCACTGGTTTGTACTTGAATAACTTGTCACATTATGTTACTACATAGTTTGGTAAAATAACACTACTAATTCCTGTTGAAAGGCAAATTGACAAAAAGTGGATAATCTTACAAATTTTGACTTTATATAATAAGTTATTGTTCAAGTACAGGGTGTTTTTTTATGTATTGACACCCCACCTACAGCCTTCACCTTTACAAGTACCTAGATGAAAGGTGTAAATACAAAAGTTGTACAGTATTGGCTAAATTTTTAGAATCCATGGTCAGAAACAAAAATTGAATGTCAGAAATGTGAAATGTTGCATGCTTTCAGCTTTTTTCAAATAGGATGCCCTATATTTGGTTCTATATTCTTAAAGAGCCCAATTCCAAAACTATATAGTTTGTCTGTATTTGGTTGAGCAGTCTCCAACATATTTGGTTCTAAAAATTTTTAAAATACTATCAGAGAAACCAAGTACCTTAAATTTTACCTGTAGCTTTCACCTGTTTAGGTAGAATGGTTCACAAAATCAATAGTAGGATAGTATTTTTGACAATTTTTGCAGCCGAATATATAAGAGATTGTTCAATCAAATAGAGACAAACTATATATTTTTGGAATCGAGGCCTTGTGCTCACCTCAAATTGCTTAACGCGATTTTATTTCTGGAACTGTAAGTCTAAATGACCTGAAATTTTCAGGGGTTGTAGCCCTCTACTGGAATAAGAATCGATGAAAATTTCAGTTTTCTATCTATTACCTATAAAAAAAAAAGTTATGACCTTTCAAAGTTTTCCAAAATCTAAATCACAAGGTAGCCACCTCAGTACTAAAACGATGAAATTTCATTTTTGTTGTTGACTTTGTGTCTAAATGATCATTTGGGACCCCCTAAACTCCATACACTAAATTATTCCGAGATTTGAAGCCGAAATCTTAATGAAAGACAAATTGGCAGACCTAGATAATAACCAAGAGGAGGAAATTCAAAGTCCAAGAACAGAATATAGCAAACAGGTGAAGAGAAAAATAAGCGAAAAGATTGATTGACATAAATGGGTTACCATGAAGGGGACTGTGCGAAATTAAAACTGGAAAATCCACAGGTTGCTGATAGAATGGTTAACGATGAAAGATTTTAAATTGAAATTGAAAGATATCGAAACTGAAAAGGATATTTTTTCACCTTACCTGGCTTTACTTCCAAACTCCACTCAGCTGGCCAGCTCTTTCAGGAAGTTCAAGCCCAATGCGAAGGAGTACAAACGAAACCGTCTTGATTTAACCGATCGCAGCAAACGGAAAACCGCGGGTCTATTTTCTCGAACCACACGAAACAGGCGGAGTGTTTTTGGCGACTGATTTTACTCGTGTAAGGACTTTGCAGGTATCCTTTTTCAGTGTTTAACGCGCGCATTTTTAAAAGTCAAATTTAGCAAAGCCGTATCAATTCTTAGACATATAGCACGCGCAATTCAATTAGAATAAAAGAAAAAAGAAAGAAAAAAGAAAGAAAAAAAAAAAAAAAAACAATTTCCATTCCTAAATAGGATTTGACATCCTAAATACCCAATTTTACCTTCAACTATATACAGGGCGCGTAGACGAAACTGAACAGCTACCAATCAATACCAGAAGCTGCCAAGACATATCAAAAAATTATTAAGATACCTACAGTTATTGCAATAAAAGAAGGTTTTTATATGGTGTGTCAATTATTGGTTTCTCCACATATTCCATAATTCTTTTGAAAAGTGAATAATTAAATAATAAACTTGACAAATTGAATATTATCAAAAGACACATCAGAAGTTTGCTGGAATAAAATTAATATAAAAATTCCTAATTACAATAAATTACCATTTTCATTCAAAGGCCAAATAAAACCAGGAAAAAAATATATATTCCTTACATTAACAATAGGTTCATTAAATTAATTTATTTTTTATTTCTCTTAATCGACCCGAATGAGTCACACAAATAGCAGTCTGAAATAATAATAATTGAACTAAATTAAATAAAAGTCTAATTAAACTTAATAGTTCTTTATTGGAATAATTTTCCGTAAAAAAATATCGCGAATTATTACAACTGGAAATGATTATTAACTATATTGGAATGGGACCTTATAATATTTTCTAACAACTATGTATATTGCCTATAGTAAAAAAAAATGGCAATGAAAATCTTTAAAACTTAACAATATTGGAAAAAAGTTTGTAAATACCAATTGAATACAATTGGATTTTAGATTCTATAATATGAAAATAATTGGTCAAGATTGATTGTTAACAATATATTGTATAAGGCACAATTTGCTTAAATGTGGAATGTTACATTGAAAACTTAATAGTATAATAGAGAGGAAATTTTACAATCCTATAATAATATCAAAAGTTTCAGTGATTATTGCTTAACAATAATATCATAATATGTAAATAATTATTAATTAGGGTTTGTATGGTCTTAAAAAACAACCACAACCCATGCATCTGATAAAATTAGTTGAAATTAGTAGCCAACATGCGGCCAGACCTTACACAAGTTACACTCATCATACCAAGTGGGAACATTATAATATCTATTCAAAGAGGAAACTTATTAGAATAATAATAATTCGGTTCATGAGTTTATTTTTGTTCAAAAGTTGGAATTGCAAGATCATCAACTCCTGAATTCATAATATAGACATTGCAATAATTGCTTCTGATACGAATGAAAGTCAGTTTGAGTCCATCATCACTATTTTCAATTTATATTTGGGTTTAAGACTTTGTACAATTCTGAGCCAAGTTCTTGACTTCCTTCTATTCAAGTTGCATATTACGCACGCGGTTTATTATGATCGTAAATTGTACTAATTTATAAAATTACCCGAAATGACATCATATATTGAAAAACCTCTTACTCAATTTTAAAATAATGTTCGCCCACAACTGGTGTTTTAATAATAAACATGATTTTTTCCCCCCTCAAAGCCGAGGTATAATTGTTTAATGTGTTGTATTTTACGTGTCTATACTTATTCTAGAATAACATTATTATTATTTTTTTTTTTTTGAGCACTAACAATAATTCTTAATATGTTTGGGTTATGTTAATCGAAATCCCATTAGTAGTAGCAATGTTACCATTACTATTCTCATAATACAAAGACACGATACTGTGTTTCTTACAAAAAGCCCACCACCATCTAAATCCCGACAATCCGGTAAACATAAATTCCGGATCTCTTAACCTCCTCAATTTTTCAACAAAATTAAGAACATCTTTCAATGATTTTTTCGTTCTTCTGTTGTAGGGCGATATGGAAACGTCGCAACAAAACTCTAATACGGCCGCCTCTTCTTGAATTGTTAAGCCGGCTTCTTCTAGAACCGCCATCCGCTTGGATTTTCCCAAGATATTGTCGTAAAGGGTACCTTTAGGTATACCGTAACGAGACGAGGCTTGGGTGAATCTCATTTTCTGTTGGACAACAGCTTCGATGGCTTCTTTGAGCTGGTCCTGAGTCCAGGTAGGTGATTTAAGCTTAAGAAGTTGAGGGTATTCTAATGGAGGGAATATGGTGTGAGTTGAAATTAAATATATCTAGGAGCTATAATTATTTTTTCTAATGATTGTTGTCTAAAAGCATTATTTACTGCCTATATGGAAAATAAGAGTCTTACATTACTGATTTCAACAAAATATTTTCTAAATAAAATTTGCTTCCTTGTACAGCAATTTAAATTCTTGTTATTTATTTCACGGTGGTTGACTGTGGGTGGTAGAAATCCGATACAATTCCTAATGTGTGTGAAATTTTATGGGCCCCTACATTCGACAAGGTAATTACCGGCTACCGATAACGTTAATATGCTGCCGTTTAACGATTTTACACGGTTTTTAATATTATATTTTACGCCGTTCTGACGGTAATCAGCCATTCGAGCCCAGTACATGTAACTAGAAACGCAGTTTTACGAGGTAACCAAACGATAAAGAAACGCGATTTTGTATTTGTGTGCGAACCACAAAGAGGTTGTGATTATTTAAAATCATTTTAGAGTTTAAACTTGTGGTTTTTGGAATGTATGAATAAGTACGGAAATAATTTTTAAAATTGCATCACAGAACAGTGTAACAAAACGGCCTAAAAATCCTTTTTTTTTTCGCTTCGTAATACGAGTAATTGGTTTTTTTTCCCAGCGAGATTCAGTCGCTAATTTCTGACGAAACCGTGTCAAGAGCCAAGGGTTATCAGTCGGATCCCGAAACAGTGTCCGCATGTTTTGCGACCGATAAGAATCCCAAAAGCGTCATCAAGCTGCCAATATAAATAAGCCTGTGAATCTCCTAGATTCATTCAGTTCTGTAACGGAATTCTGGTGTTTAGTGTTGGCGTCTTTCTGCTGACTCTCTTTCCGAGACCTTATAAATAATGTTTCAATTTCAAATGTTTTAATTTATTCAACATGATTGTTGTTTCCTATCTATTATTTATTTTCTCCCCTGTATAAAGAACAAAACCATTGGGTTAGTTTCACAACTCAAATCTGTTTTCCAATATGTATCTTACCCTGAATAACAAGGCCGTTTTGTCATTCCCTTGTCGAGGACGCTTGTGACTTTTACCCACTAAGAGTTATAATCTAGTTTTCATTTTCTGTATCTTTTATCCTTCAATTTCTCATGTAACTTGTACCATCCAAGAACGCCCTATACAGGATGCTCATTAATTTCACTTCCTATCATTCCAAAGCTTTGTGTGTAATTTTCTTTCATTTCATTTCAGTAAACATTGTTAATAACCTACTGTATATTCTTTGTTTTTCTTTCAGTTCCTTACTAAGATTTACCATTTGTTCAATAAACCATTGTTAGAGTTTAGTAAGAAAAACTGATTCTTTTGTTTCCTTTGGAAAACCCCGAGCTAGCATTCCAACTAACTGCGTACAGCTCAGGTAGCAAGAACCCGCACTGGAAGAGGGAATCTAGATTACTAAAAAGTATCCGTTCAAAGTTATCTAGATTTTCAGTGGGACTTTAAATAAAATCCCTGGCGGCACGCTACCGCAGTACAAAAAAGGCCTTTACCAGTGCTAAAACAAAGTCTCCCTTACCCAACCGTCGCAACCAGGTGGAGGTGGTAACAACAGAGACTTTAAAGGCTGTCCACAAGGAGGTGTCTTTTCGCCTCTTCACTGGTGGTAGACAGCATCCTTACTAGACTGAGCAACAAAGGAATCACTATCCTAAGCTACGCAGATGATCTGGCGGTAATAATTAGAGGCAAGCATGAAGACATAATAACAGATGCAATGCAAAGTGCCTTGAATATAATCGAAGCTGGAGTGATTAAAAGAACTTCCCAACAAAACGACCTTAGTTCCGTTTACGAAAAGAAGGAAGCGAGGGGTGGTTAACTGGTCAAAATCCGTAAACAAGTTGGTCAAAATCCGTAAACAATTTGGTCAAAATCGCAGAAAATCCAATAAAATCTACTCAAAATCCCTAAAAATCTTCGAAATCCTTAAAAATTTAACACAATCTCTTGAAATTGCATAAAATCCTATAAAATCTAACAAAATTTCATTAAAACCATAAAAATCCTGCAAAATCTCATAAAATCATTACCATTCCTGAAAAATATTTCCTTTGAAATTCCCAAAAATCCTTTGGAATACCCAAAAATCTGTTAAAGTCTCTCAGAATTCCATAAATTAGTGGCATTTCGAGGAATTTCGGTAGAATTATGTTATTCTGAAAAAGGATTACATGTGGAATTTTTGCGGAGTTTCCATAGAATTCATATTAAATTTAAGTTCTTCTCGAATTACCATGAAATTTAAATGAAATTCCAATTGAAATTAAATTACACGAAATCCTAAATGAATTTAATTTAAAAGTTACCATTGCACCAATCCTGAAAAATTACTATACGTAGCACACCACTGCGCCACAAGCTTACCTATTTGTGTTACATTGTATGTACTTGAACAATAACTTATTATATAAAGTCAGAATTATCCACTTTTTGTCAATTTGCCTTTCAACAGGAATTAGTAATGTTACTTTACCAAAATAGTAACCTAATGTGACAAGTTATCCAAGTACAAACGAGTGGATTGTTGCGGAATTTGAGAGTGGACCTCTACGGGACGAGCGCAGCGAGTTCCGCAGTCATCTATTCATTAATACATTGTTCAAGTACGATACTAACCTGACTCACTCAAATATCAGTTATTCTCATTAGTTCAAAAACTACAAGTTTCAGGTGAGTGTCTTATTTGAATAGTTCACCAGTATATTGGTTGTAGATGGCTGCGGAACTCGCTGCGCTCGTCCCACAGAGGTCCACCCATAAGTTCCGCAATAATCCACCTATTTGTACTTGAACAATAACTTATTATGTAAAGTCAAAATTTGTAAGATTATGATTATTCATTTGTTGTCAATTTGCCTGTCAACAGGAATAAGTAGTGTTACTTTACTAAACTAGTAACATAATGTGACAAGTTATTCAAGTACAAATGAGTGAATTGGTGCGGAACTTATGGGTGGACCTCCCCAGCCATCTATTCATCAATATGTTGTTTAATTACGATATTAAACTGACTTACTCAAATGTGCGTTATTCTCATTAGTTTAAAAAGTACACGTTTCAGGTGAATGTCTTACTTGAACAGTTCAACAGTATATTGGTGATAAGATGGCTGCGGAACTCGCTGCGCTCGTCCCGCAGAGGTCCACCCATAAGTTCCGCAACAATCCACTTATTTGCACTTCAACAATAACTTATTATATAAAGTCAGAATTTGTAAGATTATCCACTTTTTGTCAATTTGCCTTTTAACAGGAATCAATAATGTCACTTTACCAAACTAGTAATATATTGTGACAAGTTATGCAAGTACAAACGAGAGGCTTGTTGGGGAACTTATGGGTGGCCCCAACCATTTATTCACCAATATGTTGTTCAAAAGTACAATACTAACCTGATTCACTCAGTTGTGAATTTTTCTCATTAGTTCAAAAACTACACGTTTCAGATGAGTGTCTTATTGTTCAACACAACTGTTGAACTCAACAGTATATTGGTGAGTAGATTGCTGCGGATCTCGCTGCGCTCGTCCCGCAGAGGTCCACCCATATAAGTTCTGCAATAATCCACTTATTTGTATGTTCGTTCATTATAATGTCCAAGCGTTTTATTTGCTACCTATGAATACTATGAAATTAATTTTCTCAAAAAGGAATCATTTTTCAGGATTGGTGCAATGGTAACTTTAAATCAGGAAGGCGTGATCTACATTATATACAGAATTCAGCCAATTCTAACATAAACACAATCTCCGTATACTTTGGGCAGGGTCCTTTCTATGGAATTACTTAAAATTTTCGCGAATTTCCTTTGGAGTAACTTGAAATTTTAGTGAATTTCATGAAATTTCATAGTGTAATTTCGAGGAATTCTTGTTCAAGAATTCCATTGAATTTCTTCTGATGAAATTTGGAAAATATTATGAAATCTTATAGTAAAACTTTTAAGAATTTTCGTTTTTTTATTCAAATTTACCATTTGAATGGAATTCCGAGGAATTCCATGAAATCTTCTGGTGAAATTCTAAGGAATTCCCGAGGAATTTTATGATATTTCATAGTGGAATTCCAAGGAATTTTTGTGCAAAAATTTCAATAAATTTTATGGTGGAATTCCATAGAATCTTATGATGAAATTCGGAAAAGTAATATGAAATCTTATAGTAAAATTTCTAGGAATTTACGTTTTTTCATTCAAATTTATCACTTGAATGGAATTTCGAGGAATTCCATGAAATCTTCTGGTGAAATTCTAAGGAATTTCTATGGAATTGACAAAAATTTTCGCGGAATTCTCATGGAATAACTTGAAATTTTAGTGGAATTTCGAAGATTTTCATGAAATATTATATTGTAATTCCGAAGAAAAAAAATTCCAAGAATGCCATTGAATTTTATGGTGTGAAATATGACATGTGAAATTTTTGCGGAATTTCCATAGAATAATTCACATTAAATTTCAGTTCCTGTCCTATTACATGAAATTTCGAAAAATTACATTAAATTTCGGTGGAATTTTGATCGACTTACATGAAATCCTGAATGAGTTGCATGGAGGAATTCTAAAAAATTACATGGAAATACACCGAAATTCCCAACATGAAATTTCCGTGCTCGTTAAATTACATAAAGAACTTTAAAAAAGTTTCAAAAAATTACATGAATTCCGAGGAATTTTCGTCGAATTATATATATGGAGCGCTGATGCAATAGCATGGAATTTCAAGGAATTGTCAGGGAATTACATGAAATTTAAGTGGAATTTTGAACAACTCTTATCGTTTCATAAGAAATTCCAGTGAAAATCCAAAAAATCCTAATGTAATTACATGAAGTTTTATTTTTATTCCAAGGAATTCTCAGTTAAAAACATGGCATTTTAGTGAAATTGAAATTCCGAGAAATTCCTATCAAATTACTGAATTTTAGTAAAATTAGAGAAAATTTCACAAGTTGAATTCCAAGG